GCAAAAAGCAGTGAACCACTCCTCTAACAGTATGTATGTGTCATTCCTTCAAGGTAGACCAGACTAGGAAACCAAAGTCATGCATGCTAGCACTACTTGTATTATACTCAACAAGTAACAGTAACAGAATCTTGCAAGTCTAAATAACCATCCCCACTTCCTCCCTTTATCTTTGTGAAAATTAGAGAAGGCCTTATTTAAAATGCTTACTCAGATTACAGTTCTCCCCTGGACTCAGATTTCTTTTATCTGACTGTTGCTTGGTAGCAGCTCTTCTTCCTGTTCCTCAAGGTTATTTCTTCTGCCCATTACATCATGTGAGATGCTGTGTACATATGGGAGATAGTATATGACTGAATGGGCTATTTTGGAAAGAACAAATGCTTTTTATATCTTAAACATGGAATTCAGGAAATGGGGGGTCCTGTAAGTGCCCCCCATGTAAGTGCGTGTCCTTGCCAAAATTGAAGTTTAAAGTATTACATGAGTATTATTGTATAAGTTTGATCTTTCTTCTGTCTCCAACTACCATTTTAATCTTTCTATGCCAGTCCAATGATCTCAGATAGCACAATCCATTATTCTAGAACCTACTACCATGAAATGGGGGGAAATGCTGAATAACAAAGTCTAAAAGAAATTAATAGCAATAAAGCATTCAGGTGTGACACAGGCATTCTGTTATAAGATGAGGATACAGTAGGTATGGAAGCTGAAGATGAAAGGCAAATGCCTCCTTCATGGATATAAACCCATTGTTCCTTTTTGGAAGCGCTAAAAACTATATGTTTCAGTTAAAAACAGATTTGCTATAATCAGGTAGCATTCTGAACCCAAAGAAATGCATCGTATTATGGCTTACCATGACAAACTAGTTACAGACTATACTTAGATACTAGTTTTTACAATTTTCTGAAGGATCTGATTTGTTTATTTACTTGTTTATTTGTTTGTTTGAATTTCATACTACTGCAGTCATATGATTCTAAAGTTTTTTTTAGTTTTTTAGGCTATTCTATCATCCTTTCTACCAAGTAAATATTCTTAGTTTTCTGAAGGAAGTGCAGCATATAAACTGCTGGTTTCTGTTATTCTTTCACCAGGAGTAAAAACCAGAATACTCCTATTTTTCTGTACCTCCATGCCTCTGCCTTTGCCTTTATATTTTAAGCTACTCTGATACACAAATTATTCTTCAAAACACTAATTTCTTCAAAACATTCACATAACTTACTAAATCTGTTAACTGGATTAACAAAATAGAATTGCTATGTACACATAATATTGCAGCTTAATGACAGCTTTAATCAGACTAGATATTAATACTGTGGTTGAGCTTTTGCACAGCTCACTGAAGTATCAGCTGCTCAGGGGGAAGTATCAGCTACCTGGGGGAAGTATTTGATCATGCTGCCAGATTTCATGTCAAGCTGAGCAATAAATGTAGACTGTTCAGAACTTAAAAGCAAGTACTTACTTGCTTATAACAGAAGCTCATAGAAATGACACAGCTAGAACCCAATATTGCTTTACTGCAGACTAGAAAGAAGTCAGAAATATGCAGAAGATGTCTGCAGAACATCAAGTCATATATACAGTATGTATCTGCTCCAGGATTTAAATTCTAGGCTGTTTTGTCTCACCTTTTTGAGTCAGTGGAAAATTTGTCATTCTCTTCCCAGCAGTGAGATTGAGGCCATCTGGTCAATGTTTAAATAATGGTACTGCCTGGCCTCAGCCCTAACACATGCATCAGATACATCAAGTGCAGAATTATCAGGAGCATTTAATAATTTATTTAGACAAACTGCATCTGTTTAATGTCTACCAAGATATTCTCTTCCAGCATCAGCCACAGAGACCAAAGCAAAATTATGGGTACGTAAAGGCCAACTTGTAAAGCTGTAATATTCAAGCCTGGACAAAGTTTTTACAAGTATATGTCTATCTTAAATTATAGTTTCTGTGGGTTTTGGTGCTGAAATGAAAATTACAAGCCTCTTTAACCCTTGTGTTAAATTGAACACAATCAAGAGTTTCTTGATTGTTGAAGGTCTTGTAGTGGAATTGTATATGTGAATATTCAAAATTTTGCCATTGGACAGTTTCCTTTATAGAGAATACCACTGTAATTCTGATGACATAATGCTTAGTTGATCACTGAAGCTCAGCGTATCTTTAGAAATGAGAGCCGATTTGATGTAGTGGCTAAGGTGTTGGGCTAGAAATCAGGAGACAACTGAGTTCTAGTCCTCCCTTAGGCATGAAAGCCAGCTGGGTAACTTTGGGACAATCACTCTCTCTCAGCCCAACCCACCTCAAAGGCTTGTTGTTGTGGGGAAAATAGAGCATTAAATATACCACCTTGTGTTGATCAAAAATAAGGGTGGGATAAAATCTAATAAATAAATATAAAGCTTATTTTTCTACTCAGTCTATAAATTTGATACAAATCTGATAAACATCTATTTTTTTTCCCAGATTGTAGTGACCATCCACAAACTGCTTCTTCTGAGTAAGTTGTTGTTAGCTCTTTTTTGCATTCCCCCCTTCTGTTCATAGGTAAGGATATAGAATAGACATTACCCTCTCTATTTTTTGTACAAAATTGCTATGAAGAGGAAATGGCTATCAGTTAGGTTTAAATGTTTCAGTGTGACAAACTAGTCAGGTTTGTTAGCTGTTTTGTTGCTGCATTCAGTTTTCTGCAGAGGTTTAGGATATAGTGCCAGTATATTAAGAAGCTCTTTTTCTAAGCAGTTTATTGCTTGGAGGTAAACACCACAGAATAGTAATCTAAAATAGTCTCTGTTACAATAACATTTCCATGCACAGTATTCTACAAGAATGAGAGGTACTTACTTTAAAAAGTGTTCAGGTTGTTTCTGTTATGCTCTGAGTAATGTTATTCATGTAAGGTAGGTTGGCATGAGAATTGAGACACTGTAGCTCACAAACAGTTGGGTTTTTAGACATTATGGATTACACGTATCCATAATAAGTAATGAATGACTTAGCATTCATAGATACCATGAATGAATTAGCATTCATAGATACGATCAGATAACTATGGCAAAAAAAAACATGCCTTGCTATGGGACAAACCTATTTTGCAGCAGCTCTGCTATCACAGGAAGGCAGTTTTCAAAACAAAAGTAGAAAAACCAGCTGAATATGCTTGAATTGATTGTCTAAGTTCTGACTTGTATTGTGATTGTATTTTTAAATTTTTGTCTTTCTTTTTTAGGCTGCCAAAAGATTTTTTTGGCAAAATTGAGCAAACAGTAGTAGAAACAATATTTACAAAAGGTTCAAGTGGTGTATTACTAGGAAACGATGAAACAGATGCAGGGAAGATAGAAGAAATGGCAAAAGAAATCAGAGAGAGCAACATCAAAACTCCATTGCCAACCACAGCTCACTGTGGATCAACTCCGGGCCTTGTTCCAAAAGCAGAACTTGTAGCCTGTTTATCATCAGGTAAGATTAGCATTCATAGATACCATCAGATAACTATGGCAAAAAAACAAACCCTATGATCCAAGGTCACTAGAGCAAAGATGATCCAAATATGAATACAAGCTTCATTTATCTTGAAGAAACAGTGTAGCTTCTAGGAATATGCAAAGCACTTTCATACAAAATCAAAATGATGACATGGTATAATATGTCATGTGTTATTGTTCATCTGAGGTGGTATTTACCTACTTTTGAGAACTGCTAAGAACCAGATGATTTTTATTATGCCCTTATACGTAAAACCATAGAACTCAAAGAGGGTGTACTTTCTTTTTCACATGACTGTATATCTATTTTAGTAGCAAATTATATATTTCTCAGGCAGTGCTTCTTTTAAGTATATCTTTGTGTTTTGTAGACTATTTGGACAACAGCACTTCAGCTACTTCTCTGCTGCCCCATTCAGGATCTGTACAGAAGACAGAATCACAAGAAAAACTTGTTCAAAGGTCAAATATCCAGTGTAAAAATGTTTTAATCTGAATTATTTTGCCCCCTTAGAGTTAAGTATAGACCAGTACATTTGATTTAATTAATGCTGTCAGAAAATTAAATCACGTACTATAGCATTTCAGGTAGTCCTTGCCGAGCAACCACAATTGGGACTGGCAACTCCATAGCTAAGTGATCTCCTCAAAATTTATGATAAATTTTTATATTAACTTGTGTCCTCAATTTTGTGTTGTATTCCATAAATATATTCCAGATATATCTGAGATTTGGGGCAGGGATTCCTCACTGAGCACCTAAAAAACAATGCCAAAGTCTAGAATGGTTTTATACTGTTTTGTGCTACAAGACAAAGTTTTTTACCTCTGCACGTCCAAACATTATCCTCTGCAGTTTTGACAGGAAGTGTTTGCCATTGTTTTCCTTACATTCACACAAGCTTCAAATAGAAAAAGCTTTGCATGGAGCCCCTTTAAAATAAGCTGAATTATTTCTGGATATATAGCATCTGTTTATTTTATGGTGCCTAAAGGATTGCATCTAGGTTTCCAGGTCTAGTTTAAATTATCTCAACAAATACCTGGGTAGCATATGCTTAATGCTGTTTCACTCTAATTTACACTCTGTACTTACTTGACCTCCCATTATCATATTTAAAACAGTTAATTTGGAAGCACAGTTGGAAGTTCGGAAGCTTCTGGTGGAGGTAGTATGTTTCCAGGTGCAATTCAAGGTGCTGGTCCTTTAAAACCCTGTGTGACACAGGGCTTTAAAGTTAGTTAGTTGTGGAACTACCTTTCCCTGAGGGTTTTTGTCTGGCCCTCCAGGTCATAGTACTTAAATTTAGGCTAGTTATAATTGAGACATGAGCTTGGGTCAGCTTATTTAACTTTTAGCTCAATTAAGACTTATTCCAACTGATTTAGCTCTTCTCATTCACCTGGAGGGTTTTCCATCTCTTTGGAAGAGGGCATTATATGAAATACTTCACTTAGATGGGTTGTTTCCAGATTTTTAGTATCTTTGGGATTTTATACAATGAAAATGACTCTTAGATAATACGTTTGGAAGAATTTGTGGTTCCCTAATATTTTAATCTGGAAGGTTTAAGAAAAAGTGTGCTCCTAAAGGTTATCCTTAAAGCTTTCTATTCCCAAACCATTGGAGGATCTTTGCACTGGTGCATTTCAATGTGTTGCTCTTAGCTCTACTTAGGAAGATATTTAAAACACTTGTGTTTTCACAGATGGAGTGATGTAAAAATGGTGGGACATGTTCTTTTGTACTGCATATTTTACAGAGATACTTCCTTTTTTTATAATCACTCCTATTTCAGGGAAAATTCAACAAGTTCAATAAATGTTACATATATTCTGTCACTTCAGTTCTCAGTTATGAGCAATTGCTTAGGCAATACAGAAACGTTTTACCAATTCAGTTAGTTTTGGTTGGTTTTAGTTGAAATCTGTATTTGGTAATGTAAAGTAGACATGTCATATTTGTGGCTGAAGTTATAATGGCAATGTATTTCAAATTTACCTTGTTTTTGTTAGCCTTTGTGCTGGTCTAAGTCCATATAAAAATCCATCCACTTTGTAATGGACCCATATATTCGAAGATTTTGGATATTAAGTAAAAGGACATCCAGAGGTTAATATAGATTATTATTTTCAATATTTTTATTAAAGAAGTTTTCAACAGAATGAAAACAATACAAATTTTTGAATTGAAGAAAAAAAAATAAGGAAAAGTAATAAGAAAGTGTATAAGAAAGAAAGAAAAAGAAATAGAAAAGGAAAAAAAAGAAAAAAGTAAATAAGGAAAAATAATAAGAAAGTGTATAAGAAAGAAAGAAAAAGAAATAGAAAAGGAAAAAAAAGAAAAAAGTAATGAAGAAGTGCCTTCCTATCTCCTTAATAGTTATAAGTACATTTATATTCTACCCTCTCTCTCTCTAGGTTACATCATAATTTCCTTCTTTCCATAATCTACCCTTTCTAATAATCAAATCCATTAATCAGTTTTTTTATTTTTTCAGCAAAAAGTTCATAAGGAGTTTCCAGTCAGAAGACATGATGAAAACTCCTTAATCTCACAACACATGCACAGACTCAACCATAGTTTCAACTGGAAAACTGGGAACATCTTAGACCAAACTAAATCCCCAAACACTAGGGAATTCCTGGAAGCTTCACATTCAGACCAGTCAGCCATCAATAGACACATGGAGATAAACCACACTTACACACCATTCGAAAGAGAGGATAAAAACTAAGAAGGAAACGAAAAAACCAGAACACATCCAAAAAGACCAGAACACATCCGCTCCAGCAACCAACACGCAGATAAGCAGGGATTAACACCAGACAAACAATCAAGCAGAAAACAATACCCTCATCAAGGAACTACCAAGGAGAAAACCACACCCTCAGCAACACTGACAGGGCAAGCTACTGTATATAAACAGGGAGCAAACCCCATACTCACTAGCACTGATGATGTTACAGTAATGAAACATCTGCAAGCAAA